ATTTACCGTAAAATATAGTTATCATTATTTATAATTAATGAGCTTCTGTATTGAATCATAAATATGATATAAAAAAAAAGTATGAATCTGCTGTATAATTATAGAATATTCTTTACTACTACTCTAATGGAATATTCTTTATTAAAACCATTTAACAACAATGTGACAAATTTGTCCAGCTTGAGAAGTGGGATTAAACAAGTCTGCAGGGAGCCTTAGTAATAAAGAACTGTAAGGCATGTGGAAAAATAAAGAGATTATACCTGAAACAAAACATAGTGTGTGATAGCTGATTGAAGTTTAAGAGGGTTGTATATGTTCTACCTTCAGTCTGTCTCAGTAGGACAGTGAGTACAGGTTTATTGAGCTTCCTCTTATTCAAGTCTTAAGTCTAAATTCTTTTTTTAGAAATTAAAATTTTCTGAAGTTGTATGAAACTTTAAAAATTCATATTTACAAAAATATCTGAGAATTTTTAACAATATCTTATGTAGGATGGAATTTTTAATTAGCATTTTTACCCATTTTTATAAGTTATTAATATTTTTTTAAATTAATTTATATTTCATTTGTTTTCATTTTATTATAATTAGATAATTGTTTTGCATCAATAAAGCTTGTATCTGTTGTTTTTTGTTAACCAGATTGTCTAATAAAATATTATACAAAGATAATTTTTTGTAGCTTGAAGGACAATGAGACCAATAAGTCACATCCCGAATATGATAGCATCAATTTTTTATAAGGAATTAATTTTATTTTTATGCTCAGTAGGAGTTCTTGAAACTGTTTCACAAAAATAGTTCTGTCCTATAAAGGCTTAAAGTCTTACGATTTCTATAAAGTCGATTAAACTTTTATGTGTTCATAGAACTATGTTTTTATTATTATATATTACAACTTGTTAAAAATAAATCAATATCTACATTAAATCAAATATATGTTTATTTTTAAAATTATTAAGATATATTAAGACAAACAAGACATATTGAAATGATAAATGTTTAGGAAATTAAATTAATAATATTGGTGATTTTATATAGGTTCTAGTAAGAAGGCAAAATTGATTAAAGTAAAGTATAGTATAGCTTTGTAGTACTATTTATATAGGATAGCTTTGTTCAAAATGAAACTGAAACTTCAAATGTGTCATGAAAAAATGTGCTGTTTATATATATAAATATATATATATATATTTTTTTTTTCGGTTGGTGCTATAGACCATAGCTTCCTACACCCTAGCGGTTGGGGCAGTAGGGTGGCAATTATTCCCAGTGGATATGCACCCGCTCAGCTTAACAAGTAGCAGAATGAGGTAGTAAAAGCCCTGGTGATCAAATCTGTTCATTCAGCTGGAGGAGGGCGGCATCATCCCCGAGTTTAGTGGCTCTAGCCACCAATTGGGTGGATGTATCATCTTCTGTAATGATCAAGCCAAACAAGACTGGATTTATAGTGTAGAGGAGGGCTTCAAACTCTGTGCTGGTAATGTTGAAAAACTTAAGAAAGCTGTCAGGATAGGGGCATACTTCCCTGGCAAGAAAATTCCGGAGGAGCTACTTCTTGGAAGACTTTGGTTTCAAAATGGTAGGGTCCCAGAAATTGGGAACTAAGGTGGAAATAATTGGATTCTATGGAATACTTCAAATCCCCAACACCAGTATCGAATACCTTGAGGCCAGAAGTATTATGGTGTTGCATGGCCAAAGTTGCACTCAATGTGTTTGAGAAGAAGAAGCCTCCTAAACATAATGTGCAAACTGCAAAGGTAGGTACTGTTTCTTTAAAAGTCTTTCAGACTGAGGAGGTAGGAAGAACTTCTGCTTCCACTTGTGGGATTGTAGTAGTATCTGAGTTAGCTGAGGGGTTATCTGTGGTTGGTGCTGGAAAAAGGGGGTCTCCAGACACGAGAAATATGAAATCGGAATAGATATACCTCTCGCACTCCAGAGGGTGGTCTTCCTGTAGCTGGATCCTCTTAATGACGGTTAAGCTGTTGCAGGTGAATCTCCATCACTGCATGGCAGCTTGTTCAGCAGTATGTTAGAGGTGAGGATATTGATATTGTATTGATTCAAGAATCTTACCTATTCGAGAGCAGGATTAGGGAACTGTATTTGGATGAGTATAGCATTATTGCAGTGCCTGAATGTCTCTGTGGTTAGGGTGGTTAGCATTTTCTGAGGGTGAGGATGGGGAGAGGATCATAGTGGCAGCGGCATATCTCCAATATGAAGAGGACATCCCCAGCTTAGGGAAAAGGAAGGAGAAAGAAGCAGTGATCGTAGCACTTGATGCCAATGCTCATCACAAGATCTGGAGAAGCTATAAGAACGACCGGAGAGGTGAATCCCTTTTGGAGTATTTAAGTAGCTTTGACATTGATATTCTAAATAGGAGTAATGTTGCCACCTTTGTTAATAGAAACCGCTTGGAAGTAGTAGATATACCGTTAGGCACCCATTGCTCTGATTACTGTTATATCAGATTCAATTTCTCTGGATATACTAATCCAAAACGCACAAATTGGGAGAGATACTGCAAACAGCTTGAGGAAGAAGTCTAATACTGTCCTGGGATCATTAGGAATTCTTAGCATTTGGAATGCTTCAACTCCTCATTATCTCAGGAAATTATGAGGTCTTACATTAACAATAACTATCTCAGTTGTGTTAGGTCTAACAAAAATTTCTACTGGTGGAACTATGAACTTGGCAAGCTAAGAGCCTCAACTATAAAACTCCTTAGTGCTACCAAGAGTACCGGCAGATGGGATACATATAAGCGTGCTCTTACTGAATACAATAAGGCTATACATAGGGCAAAAATGGGGACATGGAGAAACTTCTGTAGTGATATAAATGACATGTCATAAATGTCTACAGATGGCTCAATCAGGGTTGAAGGAGATAGCACCTATTCTGGAGGCTCTGGAGTTTGTCCATTTTCCTTGCTGCCTAATGCTAGATAAACATTTAACTAATCTCGCTATGGATAGTCACACCTGTAGCAAAGATAAGAAGCATCGGAGAATGTAGAGTTCATCCCATTTTCTCAAAGCTCTAAATAAAAATATGTAATATATTTAATTGTTTTGTTAACATATTTCAAATATACTCATAACAAATATGAAAAAAATAAATAAAACTAATATATAAACATATATATCATTTTTTTAATATTAAGTACTACATTTTTTATTTTACAATGATTATGTTATTTGTCACTCATAATTTTTATACATAATTTAAACTTCTGAGAATTTTTTTGGGGGATTCCATCGCTCCTTCCACCTCCAATCAGAATGGAAAGTCTGGGCCTATGGTTTGAGCCCATCTATTTATAAATCAAATTCACATTTATATTATAAAAGTACACAATTTTATGTTTCTAATCTACTGTTATTTTGTTAAATTTATCGAGCAGTAATTTCCGAAGTATTAGCAAAGAATCTTACGGTATATACCGCTATATAATATTTATATTTTAGATTTGTTGCGATAAGATCGTATTATTTAATAAATGCATTTTGATTATAGCTTTTTTTTTTTTTTTCTTTTCCTATTACAGTAACCCTGTAATGGGTGCATATATTTCTACGTGTACCATCTTGCGAAATAATGCGTATTGAGATAGATAGTTTAAGTAACGTAGTATTGATATATTACAAGTCTTTGAATAATCAGAAAATAAAATAAATTAATGTATATAACAAATTATAGTAATCTAAGTAAATAATTAAATATAACATACAATAACTGAAATGATAAACAATAGTGATACAATTAAGATTAGATAGTGAAAAATAGAATATTTACAGCAGAAATGTGATATAGTAGGATAAAATCAAAGGATCAAGATTTAGGATAAAAATTGAGGGTTACAGAGTATGTACAATTAAGTAAAACAATTGATGTAGGAAAGGAAAGAGAGACTTCAGCCCGAAAGCCTTCCCTCCTCCACCCCCCACCGTAGATCCGCCTTTGGTAATTGGTATAATAATATAATATAAATATTGGTAAAGCTTCTCTAAATAAAGATTTCTTCCTCACCATTATCTCCCTGTATTATCTTGGTAAGTCAAGATATGGAGAAAAATAAAAATTATTAATTGAATTTACCTATAGAATTTATAATGTACTAATTATTTTGTTATTAAATAGTTTTAATAAGCGTGAAGGCACACTTGTAATCATTTAACGAATAGTAAATGAACCATGAACCTATATCCAGGATGGAAATATGTAGATAATTGGTGGTATTGGCATCTAACCTCAAGGTATGCCAAGTTTTTTATAATCATTTGAGTTAAACTTTACCAAGAACAAATAGCCTTTTTTGAGTTTAGTTTATAGCTTCCTGTTATAAGCCAAATTTTGAAATAGCATGGATCAAATTAACCATATAACTCAAGAAAAACCTACAGTATAGCTATAGTTGAGATAGAATTTAAATTAAATTCAACACACTGTACACATAAATTCTTTAAAAATTTAAAATCTTGAAAATGGGCAGGTCATGGAATGGAAGCCACAAGGGAATATGAGGGACATCAAAATCTGAATATAATCTAAAGTAATGCATTACTTTAGAATGAATTTATTTTTTAATTTATTTTATGCAAATCGTACATGCATTTAACGAATTAAGGGACGAACAGGCCATTTATAAATTGAATATTGACTAACATATCTAATAGAGATAAAAGGCTTCACGAACATGAAAACAAAATGACATTAAATCATGAAAAATATTATCCGCCTGGTATGTCAGTAAATGTCTCAAATACAAGCTAAGAAAACACCTAGCTGTCATCTAGAAAACAATAATTCAACTATGTTTACTATCACTGACCTTTTAGAAATTGATATGCATAAACAGCATAATTATCACGAGTATTTGTGTAACCATAAGAATTTGAGGCAAATAAAGAGGATTTTATAAAAACAGAATAGTACTATATATTTAATAGTAAAACTAAACAAACCTAATATAAACATTTATTTTTTTGTTGCTGATTGACTTTTCAGGGGAATGAGATCCATTTCTGCAATAAGGTCCATGTATCGAAAACTATCAGGATTGTTGTTAAAGGTATCCATTTGCCTAATTCGTTTATCATCATTTTCTCCGTAATACAGATGAAGTTGATTAATTAGGCATTGAGATTCAACAGATGATAAAATGTTTTTGTCAAATTCACCTTTCATAAGAACAACATCTTTAGTTTCTGAAAGATCAGCATAATAGACAACAGTAAGACATTCTGGAGCATCAGCTTTATGTGTTTGATACGAAATGAGAGGAGTAAAATGCACTTCATTATTTTCAAATTGTAGCATTATAAACTCATAACCCTCACCCCTAGGAAGTGGCAGAAGGAAGGTGACATACTTTTCACCATATTTTCTTATAGTTCTGTAAGCATCGGATGTTAAAGTTCCATAAACAACATTTTTACCTTTATGAAATTCATTCCATATACTAATTATTTCTTCTTTGGATTTATTTTCAAGCAGGCTTGTTTTCATTATCTCATCTAACTTTCTAGTTTGTTTTACTTGACTGACACTAGGACTTTTTTTATCTCCATATACCACCTTCTTCGTTTCTACTTTAATCTCTTTATTTTTCTCTTGGCAAGCTTTCAGCTTCTTCAAAAATTCTTCTGGATCAGCATTCTGAATCTGGCGAATCTTATCAGCATACTTATTGAAATAGGGATTGCTTTCCAGGTCATCTTTTGCTTTATTCAAGTCGAAACCGGTAGTCATAATTTTTCTAGAGTTAAGTATTATCCGCTGGAAATGCCTCCGAAATACTACTGCCATAACCCTCAAATGCCTAATTGTGTGTAGTATTCTTCCTGATCACACATGAAACCAAACACTACCTGAATATCAGACCATGAAGAAACATAACCTGAACTTCAGTAGGTTATATGAGAACGTGACCCCCCTCCACCACCTGACCAGCTGAGTCACAACATACCCCACATGTACCCAGCATTATTGGAATATTTTATTGGAAATGGTAAAGAACTTTTGTAGTAAAATATTATTATAGAATTTAATAATAAAATGGCCATTAAAATTTTGAAATATAACATTAAAAAATAATATCAATTAATGTTATCTGTAATATATAATATTATATATTATATAAATAATATAATATATTATATAAATAATATAATATATTATATAAATAATATAATATATTATATATATAATGTTGTATTATATATATATATATATATATATATATATATATATATATATATTATATTATATATTATATATATATATAATGTTATATTATATATGTAATATATTATATTATATATATAATGTTATATTATTTTATATGTTAGTTAGTAGCTGTAAATTCATTTAAGTATGTTTTAACCGCGACATTATTGTTAAACAAAACTCTTTATTTTAGTTATCTTGATAAAAACAGCAGGTGGAAAATATCAAAATTAAGAAACAAAAATACTAGGTTAGTGAATAACCATTTATATATTTGTCTGTTCTATAGTTTATGAAATATCTAGGCGCATCTTTAGAGGATGATGGATTTAAATAGTTTGTCCTATCTTTAAAAAATACTAGTAACATATAATATTAAAAAATATAACTTTATAAGTAGTCTAATTCTTACAAATAAAACCAAGTCATCAAAATATACCATAGAGATAAAACAACGTGAGCGAATTTCTAAACTGAACGCCAATTTTAATGAAAAATTACCATATTTTTACAAGATAACTCATTATCGTAGAGAGAATAAAACTTCGTTTAGTTAAAATATACTTACTACACTGGTGGCAAAAAAAAAACTGGTGCTTCTTGAATTTTTTAATAAAACCAATCGTTCAATTCAAGATCGTGTAACCACCACCTTATTCGTAGTATGCCTACGAGAGTATAGATTGTCTAGATGGTCCCATATAAATTATATTAAATTCCATTCAGCATAGCCGCATAAGCACGCGCAAACGTTGTTTTAATATTTCAGAAACATCTCTTTCGATTTGGCTCAAAGTGGAAAAAAAAAACTATTCAATTTTATTGAATTCTGTCAACTATTTTCTCTGATGAATGAGCAAACATGTTTTCCCTTATAAGCCTGATTAAAATTATAATTATCTGTGCTTTATATCTGTAAAACCGCAAGTTAGATTTGGCACAAATTTGGAAGGAAGCTAAAGATTGGTAAACAGATAATCAAGTATATATGAATTTGATTTTGAATTGAAATTTTTATCCTCTACTAAAAAAAATACTTCCGCTTTCAGATCAGGAAATTTATTATTTGACACCCCAATAATTTAAAAACTATAAGTTCGATTTGACCCAACTTTGGAAATTAGTAAAGAAATTTCCAAGTATCAATCTCATGAAATTCCATTTAATAATTAGAAATAATATAAATAATTTTTAACAATATAATGGCAGGAAAATAAGCAAGATATTGATCATATGGAGTGGGAGTTAGATTAAGACAATATTTTTATGGAGTTATAAAATTTTAGGTTTTATTCAAAAAGTTAATCTATACTGTATTGTTTGGTCGATTCCAAACGTTACTGGCATGACACCTACTGCCGTTACTTACATTTCGTGTAATTTTCAGTAAATTTAAGTTAACTTTTACACTGAGTTTGTAAAAAAAAAATTCTTATTCGTGATTGTGTTTATTTATATTGAAGTTTAACCTACTTTCCGTGGTCTAGATTTTCTCCTTTAATATCTAAGTAGTTGTGTGAATTTCACGCATATTTCAGATTAGTTTTGTTCTAACTGAAGGAAAGTATTGGTCTCATTGACTCCGAATAAACAAAAAGTTGAACTTTCCCTATGAAATTATTAGTTTTTATGATCTGTTGTAAGAAACACATTTTGAGTTACGACCTTTGGCACTAATAGATGGCAATATGCATGTACAGTTTGCACTGGATTTTATTAGTTTAATCATAAATCATCAAATATGTAATCTGCAAATACAGAACTCTTTCACATTTTGGTACTTGCTGATGAACAAAACTCGTGGATATAAAACCCGTATATGTTGAGGGATTACTAAATTTTTGAAAAGGACTTCTCCGAGAGGTTTTATTCTCATACGAAAAATTTTAAAACTTGTAATATAAATATTTTTTAGAAAATGAAACGGCGAGGAAGCTATACTGACCTTACTTGGCAGACATTTTTCCCTTTATTTGTGGTATATATTTAAAATATGTCACACTATGTTGAGGTAAAAAAAAAATGTATTTTTCGCATTTATATGTTTTGAGATTTTTATTTTAAATTGATTTTAATAAGTATAAATTATTAACATCCAATAATTTTGTAGCCATCATAAAGACCTACAAAGTGGTTCGAAACGTTGACGTAATCAATAAAATACTATTTTCATATATAGTGTTCGTGTTCGTTTGACCGTACCCCCCGACCAACTCCTCGTATTATGTATAATAACGGTGAAACATCTCTACACCATAATAAAGTAATTTAATTTAAAATAAACTTTATGTAATTATCATTTTTAGTTGTCTCACTTTCAAGGTGTTAATTAGCTGTGCACAGGCTATACATATTTAGAAGCTACTTTATATAATTAAATTGTACAGGTTTTTTTTTGTATCTCAAAGTTTTGCATAGCAAAGTTCAGTGAGAAACCAGGATCTACTTTACACCATTCCTCTTTAAGACTACCTTACTATGAAAAATACTTCAGCCTATATTTAACATGGAAATCAACAATTTAAATTTCAATATATATACTGCTAACCGATTGTTATAGTTAGCCCATAAGATAATACAATTATAACTGCTCTAAACCTAATTTTGATAAATAAATAAAAATGTCGATGAATTTCTTGCTTAAAATATTCTGAAGCATTTTAATATGGTATAAGTTAATTAAAAATTTTCGTATACTCGTTATGAATCTTTTGTATTCATCAGTTTTGTATTTTTATTCATTAAATGATCAAAATGGATGCATCTGATTACCGCCATTTTTTAGAATTGAAATATTTAAAATTTAATAATTTCTGAAGACTAAAAACCGGGATCTAAAAGTATTAAATATCTAAATTACAGTATTTGCTGAATCTATAATTAGTTGATTATTGATGTACAGACAAGTTCCTCGTAAGTTATAGCATTTTGAAATAACATATTTAATATTTTTATCTCTATCTTATGAGGCTAGAATACTTAAATTTTTATCTGAAAAATAACGGACTTTTCTTTCATTCCTTTTAAATTAGTATTATAAAGTACATAAATTTGGAAATATTATCCATATTTGGATAAATTAAATGAGGTAACACAACAAGCATAATATTTACAAAAAGAAGTTCAGCGTTCGTTATGTTACCTACAACTTGATAACTGGAGATTTATTTCCAATGTATCTTATCAGATTTACTCATATTGTTTGTTTTGTTTTTTTCGAATAATTTTTCCTAACTGCACGGATGAATATACAAACGTTTTACGCCATTTTCATCAAAAATATTCTAAATCGATATTTTCACTTTTGTTCAGCAAGATTATCTGAATAAGCTCACTGCGCGACGTGTCAACCCGCGCTACTCTGAAAATGTTATAAAAATTATATTAACTATCACATATGCCTGGTATGCACCGAACAACAGACAATATACAAACAAGGAACCAGATTTGTTCCTTGATGCTTAAAACGTAAAACAAAAGAGATTTGCGATACTGATCATATTTTTTTTTTTTAGCTCCCACAAGAATACAAAGCTAGGGTAGTGAGAAAATTAAAAGTTAAATGCCTGGAAAATCCTAATAGATATATTTTTTTTTTCAAGATTAGACAAAACCACTGACTTGTCGCTTATTACATATTGCGTGGTCAAGAAAATAATGTAATCTATGTTCTGAGAAGCAAATCATCATATTCCTATTAAGTAAAATTACATGAAAATTATTGGCCAACAGTTAAGTGGTTATTGTGTGAGTGATAAAAAATGCTGTGCATTGTAACCATCGGTAATAGAACTAATTTAAACACAAATTTACAAATGTTTCAATAGAAATATGATTGTTTGACATTATTATTCAAGTCTCATGTGCTAGGAACTGTTTATCCTATCATATAATTTAAAACAATTTTTTTTATCTCTCTTATTTTATTATTCTAATGCACTGTATTATTATTAAATATATGGAAAACTGTAAAACTACTCCAAATTTGCTTACCCAAATAATAAAGCATTAATATATATGTAAACACGAAATGCCTTGGCCATTAGAAAACGTTGAAAATTAAATTAATTTACATTTCACACCCCATTGTTGATTCTGTAAGTCAAGAAAAAAAGTAATCATTATTTCTTTTTCATATTTAATTTCTGGAAATCTTGGTGAATATAGACAAATTTTATGATTTCCCAATATACCATGAATAATTATTTATTTTCTATTTTTATTTATTTATTAGTAGAGGATTCCAATGAGTTTCCTCTGAGGGTTTTACAATAGACGCTCTTAAAGTGAATCAGATTGTACCTTGCAGATAGAATTTTATTATTATATAAAGAAATATTTGAATTTAAAAATAACTTTACTACAGAAAATTGGGAAGGTCTATCCGCCCTTAGAGAATGTACTTCCATATCTACTTAAACATATTGGTAGATTGATAGGGAAATTGACATTTACGAATAATCAAACTTAGTGTGGATAAAGTCGGGTGCTCATCACTTCACATTAAGACACCAGACAAATAGATTTAGTCCCATGTATCAGTGAATTTCAACATTCGAAAGTCTAGAATTTCGTTCAGA